TCTCCTCGAGTAGCTTTAATCCTTGATTTCAATCCTTACAAAAGCATACGGAAGCTTATTTACCTTCTTCACGTAGTCATAAAACCCTTGCAAAGGCTTGAAGTGGATATTTTCAAGCTTTATGGTTGGTCCTTTCAAGAGTCCGGAGTGAAAGTCCGGAGCGTTGCTTTCATAGGGCTACCTCATCACCGGGAGCGCCAGTGGCTTCGGCCTGGAAGCTGCGTGGCTGTTTGCTGCTCATGGCGCTCAGCATACCGTCCTTATCAGTCGTTCTGGCCCAAAAAGCGCCGAAGACAGGCAAACTCTTAAGTTTCTAAAACAAAGTGGAGTTTCCTTGTATCTGGAATAAGTTGATATTACTGACGAGACATCCGTCTCGGCGCTTGTGAATCGCTGGCAACATTTCCCGCCTCTCGCTGGCGTATTGCGCAGTGCAGGCGTTATCGATGATGCCCTCGCACACGAGACGACACAAGCACGCTTCTGGAGTATATTCGCTCCCAAAGCACTCAGCACCTGGCACTTGCATCAAGTCATGCAGCATATGCAGCTCGACTTCTTTGTGATGGTGTCCTCCTGCTCCAGCGTGCTAGGCTTGCTGGGCCAGTTCAGCTACGCTACAGCCAACCAGTTTCTAGATTATTTAGCACGTCAGCAGGCAAGCGGCAAGCATGGTCTCTCCGTGAATATCGGAGTGTTCGGTGACTATGCTGGCATGTCACGCAGTTCAGCAGATGTCGATAAAGTGCTCAACGTCCTTACCTCGCATGGTCTTTCACGGATGGCCCTCCCTGATGTATTGGAGGGTCTAGAGCGCTCTATGCTGCAAGGCATCCCTCAACGCATGATTACAGACATCGACTGGCAGCAATTCTTCAAGGCTTATCCGCACCTGTTGCGTGATGGGGCTTTCCGTGATGCTCGTCACATCAATAAGGGCTCTACTGGTGCTCAGGCGGTTGCGTGTCTTCGCACACAAGCTGAAAGCCTTGCCATTAGAGGAGCGTATAGACTTTATAGCTGACCAGCTCCGTCTGGCCCTCTCTAAGATTGTTGGCGCAGAGCCCGATCGAATTTCCACCACAGAAAAGATTGACCGATACTCTCTCGATTCTATGACCTTGACGCAGGTCCGGAGCATCATCTTACGCGAGATGAAACTAGCTGCCCCCTTATGCGGCTGTTGCAAGGCCCAACTCTACGGGACATTGCAGCGGAATCTCTGGGGAGTGACCGGAAAACTGTCAGCACTGTAGAACACCAGAACACCCTTTTTCCTGGCCTCAAGACAGTATCACCATGGCTAGTTCGCACGTCACATGCAGAAACCGATCAGATGCGTCTTTTTTGCTTTCACTCTTTACTCCTTTCTTAACAGATTCATCGATATGTCTCGAGTCCTTCGCCTACAAACCCCTGGACATGAGACACGCCGCAGCGAATCCGCTCTCACATCAATATCCGAGCTAGTGGCAGGTATTGTAGCAGCGATTCTCTCACTCATTGATCAGCCCTATATATTCTGGGGCCATGGCTTTGGGGGTATTGTTGCATTCGAGGTTATACGTGCTCTCCAGCGCGCTGATATGCCCTTACCCCACCATCTTGTCGTGACGGGGACTATTGCGCCTCACCTCATTCACATATGGCAACGACGCGGCGTCCTTCGTTTCATGGCCGAAGACTGGAGTCCCAAGTACTTAATGGCTATCTCACGCCAAATCGATAGCCCGGACTTTGTGCGTTCCATCATGCCCGGCATTCGTCTTGATATGCCTCTTCTGCTTGGTTACAACCATGAACTCGAGCCGCAGATTGATGTACCTATCACGGGCCTTGCCGCTCGTCAGGATGAGTTCGTTTATCCCGATGAGGTCGGTGCCTGGCGCGAGCTCGCCACTAACTTTCGCCTGGTCGAGGTCGATGGCGACCATTGGTTCATAAATCGAAATCACGAGCTATTGCGGAGTACACTGGCAGCATTGGCGGCGCATTAGTGTGTATCTTGTCTCAGAAAACATGGCAGTTCTCTTCACGGCCTCAAGACGGGACTTCCTCACAAGCCAGTTCTCTAAATACTATGTTTGAAATTGCTCTGCTTCCTTTAGAGAAAAGCAGAAGAAGATAGTTTTGGTTCCTTTCAATGTTGAAGAATAGATGAAATCGAAAAATAACGAACCTGTACATGGCTTTAAAAATATAAGTTCTAATAAGAGTTTGTAAAAAAAGGTAGAAACTAAAAAATTTACGAAAATTTCCCAGTCGTAAGGGAGCCAAAATAGAAATTATGCTTTAAGGCGAGAAATAAGGGCACAGAACTTGGAAAGTGTAACCAGACTTCGAGGGAGCCACATATACCGATAATCACGGGAGATTACAAAATGGAGGTCTGGAATGTCAAAGTTTCTACAGACGATGAACCTGGATTCATCTGTTATACGAGAAAAGAGCATCAACAGCTGAAGCACTGAAAGTAACACGGTTCTGATATCAATTAGCCATACAATCACCAGTGAGGGCTTCGAATCAGACTTCCTGGCAGTAACTTTGATCTGAGGGCGTTGATTACACTGCCCTTTGCTGCAGCAATTTCTTCTTTAGGTAGAATTTGTTTCCTTTGTCTTTGACGGCCTGCATGCTATCTTTTATGTCCTTTAATAAGACATCAATACCTTTGACTTGAAGTATTTCATAGGCTGCCCCCACCAAATCCCCCACGGAGGCTCGGCCAGATTCAAATCACCTATAAATTTGCTGAAACGCTCGGATTCAGCTCTTTAAAACTCGTGAGATTCCGCACAATTTATCCAGACCCTGTACTTACTCGACCTTGGTCCGAGTGCACGTCCAAATAGGGAATGCGCAGCCTAGTATTTCATCAACAGTATTCTTAATATGGATACACCTAATGGCTTGTGGGCTCATTCCATTGCAGGGTGCGTTTCTATTGTAACCTTAATCGTAAGCAATAGAATCGAGAGGGTAATATTTATTGCTCTTGTAAAACAGTTTCGAGCCCTTGTTGTATTGTACTTGTCCGGGATGGAAACAGGGTATTTGTACGCTAGAACACCGCCGTAGTCTGCCACTTCCAGCACTCCTGCCTTATGATAGAATGGATCTCGACCTTTGTATGCGAGAGAATGCTGAAAATTGGAAGCAGGGGCAGACTAAGGGTGTTTTCCCAAGGTGAGAATAATGTAGGGACGAGTCATCACTAAGTACTGCTCTAAAAGCCCAATGGCAGCGGATATGTTATCCTTAATACAGTTCAGCCATGGGAGTAGGTTCACGAAAGGCAAACCTTGATGTTTAGTCAATGGATTGATTGTAAACGATAATGTCTCTTTGAGACCTTCCAATTCGTATAACTTTGAGAGGACGTTCTTCATCAAATCTGCAGAGCGACCCCGCCCTATATAGAATGGCTCAGCTTTCTAGTAAGCGTCTTTACTCATCTCAACGCCGATAATAACAATGGGCGTGAAATGACCCTGATAAGTGCAGGTACCGCCTAACTCATAACTGTTAATTGAAGCGCCTCGGAAAATTGACGGATCTTCGAAGGGAGCCAGGGTCTGAAAGGCTTTCATCGACGCTCAGCAGGGATCGTTGATGCTTTATACCATGGCCGAAGACGCTTCACGCCCACGTTCGGAGTTTATTGATTCAGTCGACAGGCGCAGTGTGTAAGTTTTGTTGCATGGCTTCGATACTTCCAGTTTGCAGGGACTTGAAAACAGCTCGTTGTTCGTGGTCTGGATTATAAGTGTGAAGGAAGCCACTAACCGCCTGGGTGGGTAAGGGAGAAAAACCAATCGATGCAATTAATGCTTGCTTTGGGAGGGTTTGCATACCCTTGTTTTCTTTCCATTCAGGTAACGAGCCAATTTTTGCGCTGAATGACTTGCTTCGTCAAACTCATATATTGCAATATTGTCTAAGACGGTTGGACAGAATCGACCAACTATTTCCAAGAATTTCGCCGGCACGGGACCAGGTTTAGAAGAAAAATCTGCAATGTAGCGTTGAAATGGAGTTTTCCTTTCAGTGGCACCAATATAGTGGATAAAGGCAATCTCCTCTGAGCTCATTGCTGCAGTCATATTCAATCAAGTAATAGCTTCGTTGTAATGGTATTTCGAGTCTCCTGGTCACCAATAATCCTCTCCAACTGGGATACAGTTATTGAGAACGATTTTAAGTAGAAGTTGATTGGCATATCTGGTGATTTGACATAGTTGGAAAGATCGTCATCTTCCTTACGACTAGACATGAAAGGAAGAACGTTATCAGGGAGGCTTAGTGGCTAACGGAGAAGGGTGCCCCAAGCAGTGCAATCAACCCTCTTGGGAAGGCAGTATTCCACCAGCTCAGGTGAAAGCGGCTGCTTTCTAATGATATCATTCTCTCCCATGCGAAACATTAATTCTTCGTAGATAGACTTCCGAAAACTAGCCGGGGTGCTTTTTGTTGAACGGAGGTGTTTTTGGCTTGTTCAATTGATTCATTGAACCATTATTTTACAGTCCGAATGCCCCCTTTTATCATGTCCTGCCGATCATCGTTTCAGAGTAGAGCATTGACCCCTGACTTGCGACACTTTTGTCATCTGTATGCGGCGAATTGCTGGAGCCATTTGGTTGACGAAAATCACGAGTGATATCCAAGACTGCAGGGCTCTGCGATCGAGGACGCATCTTGGATGATTCGGAACGCTTGAGGTTATGCGCAGCGCTTGTCATGAAAAACTTTGTGTATCGATTCGATCGATTCCTTTATATATTCTTTAACCGCACCCTGTCCTGCCTATATACCGTTTCGAGCGCTCAATAGATCCGAGTAGATCATACCATCGATCCCTATGATCAATCACAGGGGAGAGACTCCCGTTAAAGCCTAACGCTTACCGACCATGTAGCCGACTGGCACGGTCGGTAACAATAAAAGCAAAAAGAATAAAAAATAAAAAATAAAAAATAAAATCGAATTAAAGGAATTGAACCACACCCGATTTGAACGGATACTATTTATTGAACACGTTAGATATAAGTCGAAATGCTCGTCTTTTTGTTGGCTACATACACCTTTCGATCTGGAGTCGAACGCGCTACCGTTGCGCCAGCGGTCCTTGATGACCAAGATTTGCTTATTTAAATATATTAAGACATTATTGAAATATGAACGACTTTAACGAATGCTCCGTGCATTTAGAATCCGGTATTCCCTATTGGTAATCATGGAGGATAGTGCCACCATAAAACCTTGAATTTTCTGTGTGAACATAAAGCTTTAGACTTTGGAGTCGCACATTACTCCCGAAAATTTACTAAAAACTGTAAGTCCGAGATATATACTATCGTAGAGTTAATTCTATTTATTTTTCAAGTCTCAGTATAATCGGATCGGTAATTATTGCGCAATCAATTAATGAGCGATTTTGTGGAATGCGATCGTGGCGACGCGGCTCTAACCTTACGGGTCTGAGTTTGGCCGGCTCCGCGCATCAGGTGACCGTACCAGCTCACATATATAAGTCCGCGAGTCATATAATAAATCTTCCTATATAATAAAATCTTTATTTTGTAAATTGTTTAGCGTTAGAATATAATATTAAAGTAATAAAAACTCAAGCTTGGTCGCGTGATTTGTGAGGAAGCTCTTCGTCGGTGGAGTGCTCCTTGGCACAGAGCACTGGAACATCAAGTCATGGTGAAGTCAAATTTTAACAGTCAGCAAGATATGAACTAACGACTACCTTTGCTCTTTAAACAGATCTACCTCTACCTAGTACTCTCATTAGCTAAAAGTCTTGCTTGATCGCTACTCTTGTGATCTCAAGACGCATCGCAGGTAATGGCCAGCCCCCCGACCAGTCTAACTTACCTGGAAGAGCTACAGTTGAAAATTTTGCAATTGTTTGCACCAAAGCTCTAATAACGGTACTTTGCCGTCAGCCAATGCCCTCAGGCATGGCTTATCCTTAGGAGACCTGCTTTCATGGGGCTATGAGCAAGGTCGATCACGGTGATTTATAGCTGCCGTGGTAGGAAATGATGCAATGATGTGACCTATGGCCCTTGAACGACGCGTGCTGTCGCCAAACGTTGAAGAATAAAAGCAAATAGTATGCATTTTTACTTTGAATATTCAGGATATCGTATGGTTGGTGGCGCTTCACTTGAAACTCGTTACGCCTACGCGGGCCGTTCCGCTGACCCAGTATAGTGCATTGGGCGCGGAAGTGATACTATCCTGACGTATAATTCTCGGTCTATTTTTTCCCCCAGTATTCCTCAATTATTCCCAACATTTTCCAGCTACGATCTGGCTCCAACATGCCGAAGACAAACAAGCCCCTTACCTGCACTAATGCATCGAGCATGGCTGCAAAACGTCCATCGAAAGGGGTGAGCAAAGTAAGCGCAGGGAGGAAGACCAATAACGAAGAGGTAAGAAAACTCGCAGCAAATTTATGTACTAAGCAACGCTAATAAGTACCCCTGCCACAGCAAAGCAGTTTCATGAAGTTCCCAACAGAATTACACATCATGGTTTTCAACCTCCTAGGACCAGGAACCCAGCGACTTCTGGGCGCAACTTGCTCCACATTGTACCGCATCTACAAACAAGAATACTGGGAGAAAGACATCGTGATCGGCTACAACGAAGACGGATTCCAGGGTTACTCATACAAAGGGAATGAACTTTCCTACGCAAGCCAATATTCGGATATTATTGCGCAATGGCTTATTCACCCATTCCACCAGTACTATCCCTGCCGCCGGCGAGCTGAGCTGTCCGAATTAAAGATCAAGCTGAAACTCAGAACGATGATTGCAGAGCAGGCACAGAGGGAGGGGATGAGTGAATTTCTCCCTGGCTGGTCCACCGAGAGGCAGAAAATTCGTATTAAGCCTTATGGTGGTGGGTTTTTGAAACATTGAGAGGTAATTATGTGGTTGGATAGCGTTTGAGCAAGGTAGTGGGATGAGGGAAGAAGAGATGCAGGTTGTGGCTGATGTCAAAGCATGGGGAGTGCGGTTCAAGAGAGTACTCGATTTCATATAAAATACAAATTAAAACTTGGTTATATGGAATGATCTCTGATACTTATAGACAAGCCCAAGGTACGTCCTCTCGCGTACTGGTAGCTAAAAACGCCATACCCGAAATCCCCAAGTAGCATGGAATATTGAGAAGTATTGTTTGGATCAAGCCTTCTGCTATGGAGCAATTAAGCGAAGTGTCCAGCCAAGTTTCCCAAGCATAGGTAGATGCTTCTAGATGATTGGCACTTGCCAGTCAGTCTCGATAGATGGTCTCAACTCACGGATTTGCGGAAAAGGCAGACCTTTTGTTGGTGGGTAACGCAATGCAATGCACTATTTCTCCTAATATACAGTACACTTTCTCCATTCCATCCCGCCTAACAAACGCACAAAGAGTCCACCATGAACCCATCGAACTCCGCCGGAAAACTCCAACGACGATCCGCACCCTTACTCGCGATGAAATTTTTTCGTTTGCAAGAAAACCCGACCATCCAGTCCATTTACTTTCCATCACCAGAGTCGCAAGACCGCAGAAACTCCGTATTTATTTACCATTGTACTGGAAATTACCAAACACACCCCCCATGCCGCCCGGTGTCATCGGTGCCATACCGCCGCCGTTACTGTTGTGTCCTGGTGTAGTAGCTAGTCCTGCGCTCCCTGTATTGGGTGTGCTGGGACCAGTGAAGGTCGTGAACGTGACTCCGTTTCCGTTCTGGCCTGGTGTGACGTTTTCTTGATTGTGATTGTGGTGATGTTGGGGCGTGGATTGGACGTTGTTTTGTGGGACTTGGCCGTATTCTGGCGTGCTGAGACCCCAGACTAGACTGTTATGTTCTTCCCCGATTTCATTGTTGAACATTCGCTCTTTGACTCTGAAGAATACCCGACCGGTTAGTAACGAGTCTGAGCCAGCTTGATGTGCGACGCCTTGACGTTTGACTTTCAGGCTCTCGGCGAGAGACTCGAGGCTGGCCTTTTGTTCGAATTTCTGGAGGACTTCGAGGGTGGGTGGGTCTGGACTGGCTTGACCTTGTTGATATTGTCTTGCCGCCCACTTCACCAGGTACTTGATGTCCCAAATACTCGGGAAGTATTTGGCCATAGTTGCTTTGAAAGTAATCTCATCGTCCGGAAGGGGTTCCACATGTAAGAGTTTCGTGAGATACCCAAAGTCGTAACCACCGTGGAAAGATAACCAATGGACGTCGTCCTCCATGACCAGGCCAGAGCTGATAAGGACAGCTCCGAAGGCGGATGCTTCGATTCCATCTGTCTCCAGCTTTCGAAAGTCCACCTGTGCTTGCTTCAGAGCTTCGATGGAGATCTCAGCGTACATGTCGGTCTCCAGAGAGAAACTGAAATTGAATTGCCATGTAGTTGGGATAGGTATCATCTGGCCGGCGTATCTTCGATAAAGAGGATGGTTCGTTGGGAGTCCCAATTCATCTGCTGACATCTCTGGTGGGAGAAGGTTACCGTCCTCGGTGAATAATGAAATGCCAAGCTGGATCGGTTTGAGGAGGTCGACGTTGCATCGCAGACACTGATAATGGTAGTCGGCCTTTCCATTGAAAGATCCCATAGGTCTCGCGACCACTCCAGGAAACTCAGTGTCCTGACGTAGTGTCAGTCAATCTCGCATATCCTCCTTCCTTTGTTCTTACCATTGCAATATATGGATACTTCCCGGCCAAGCACCGCAGTACCACCATCTCCTCTTCTAAGTTGCTCGCCCACACATCGCGTATTCTGTTCTGGTTTTTCTGGCCCCTCACACTCCCCACTTCACTCATGCCGTTATGTCCCTGATGTAGATTGGCGCCAGCAAAGCTCATTTGCGCAGCATGACTTGCTAGACCCGTTCCTCCAGGCATCCCGAGTCCAGCACCTCCGAAGCCCCCTGATAGGCTCAAAGCATTGCCGTTCACGGAGAAGGGATTGTTCATAGAATTCGCATTCATGAACCCGGGATTCGACGCGAGGGACGGTGGAGGAAGACCGGCAGCATGCCCTTGCGAATGTGCTGGATACTGTTGCTGATAGTGAGAGGCAAGACTATTGGGCGCGCCGCCGAAGCGCTGCATCGGTGGAGGCATTTTGATTCTCTGTGCTATGTGTGCTAGTCCAGAAAGATCGAGGGAGGTGTGCGGTTTTCATGGGCGCTGCGTGACGCGCGAGAAGGGGAGTGGTTCGTGGTTTATTCGCAGAGAGTAGATTGGCAGCTTGTGGGCACGACGAAGGTGAGTATGTACATGCGCTGGTTGTAGGATCGCGGTGAAGTCGTTGTCAATGTTCGAAGTTCGTGATGCCAGGGCTGGCTCTTGTCCAGATATCGGAGGTCGGGAGCTCAAGGTTGGCCTTACTAAATGCGGTCTAGACTGCCAAGCCCTAGCTTCGACCTCGATTACTGGGAGAGGAGCATCTACAGCCTCAAAATATCACAGCCTTGTGGACGACACAGACTTTAAGATGCGTTTCTCAGCGTATGTAGAGTCAATTGGTTCTGGAGATGGGATTAATGAAGTTGCTGACCTGGATACACAGTGTACGAAGAGCTGGTCCCCGACCGAACCTCACTGGCTTCGACCCCAAAGCTTTCGCCGCATCAGCAGGCACACCAGCAAACGATCCATGGGCACGAGCGTGAGTCGAACTTTTAGCTGAGCTTAGAGAAGGGCACAGGATGAAGGATTGATGCTGATGGGTTGACTACAGAGAAGCATGGCGATACACAGGACCTTTCACCCGATGGAATCGATTCAAGGGCAGCTTCCCAGGCTTGGGCATCGCGACGGTAGCATTTGCGGCATACTGCGGATATGAATACATGTTCTTGAACGATGATCACGGACACGGAGAGGGTCATGCTGAGGGTCACCATTAAAGATGGACCTTTGAGTGGACATTGTACATATGGGGAAATCACAAAACGTTTGAGCATGAAGAGAGATTTACGGTGAAGGATCTAAGAGATACTTTTCGGTTACTATACTTTTCTATGGAAAGTACGGATCTGCCAGGGAGTGTGGAAGATGGAATGTTGAAGGCAGCTGTTCGTACAACCATCCAGACA